CCTGTTTTCTGACAGCTCCTGGCGTTTGGTTTCGGCTTTGGGGGATTTTTTTTTTGTTTTAATTTTTTTTTTCCTCTCCTCTGTCAGCCCACATTCACGCATGCGGACCTGTCCAAGCCAGCTCTTGGTTCCCAGCAGGTGGAGGGGGGTATGTGTGTCCACAACTGCTTTGTGAAAATGACGCACAAAATCTAGCCTGAGCTGTGAAGTGATGAATCATAGTCACAGAATGGTTTGGTTTGGAAGGGACCTTCAAAGGCCATCTAGTCCAACCCCCTGCAGTGAGCAGGGACATCTTCAACCAGATCAGGTTGCTCAGAGCCCCGTCCAACCTGACCTGGGATGTTTCCGGGCATGGGGCATCCTCCACCTCTTGGTCAAATTAATTTTTATCCTGCATTGTCCTCTTCCCTCATCATCTCCATGCATTCGCCATTTTTCTCTGGACTGTCACAGAACACCACCTTCCTCAAGTCTAACAATGGTGCCAGTACATTGAGCTGCAGGAATTAACATCGAGCTGCTAATTGATTTAAAAATAATTCAAAATACTTTTTCTCAGTATTCCTGTCCTGGGCTGTTGAAAATCTGAAGCGTCCATTGCAAGGTGAAACCACTATGACTTTTGGACATCATCCTGATCAATTCATTAATGTTACTAAATTTTATTAGCAAATACTGAGTCAGGTGATGTTTGATTCACTAAAGGCAACTGTAGTTTACCACCACAGTGATCCGTCGGCACCTGTGAGAAACGGCATGATGCAGAGTAGAAACACAGGCTTTTGTGGCAAGAGGGGTATCTTCTAACAGAGAAATGACTGACCAAACGTGTGTTGCTTTATACCACCAGCAACATCCTCGATCTCTATTCCTGCTCATTTTGAGGCATATACTCCCTCCCTGCTTCCCCCCGCCCTATGAAGGGGGGGAGTGGCATAAAAAAATGCGGTTTGTAGTTTATTTGGGGTTACTTTGTGGCGGTAACATATTCTGGAGCTGGACTTCTCAAGGCAACGTATTTATTAAGGGTTTTCTTGTCCTCCAGGGAGGCTTGGTCTTGCCGAGACCTCAGTCTCATCTTTCTTGCAGCATTGTGCACAGCAGTCTCTTTCCAGGTCTGCTGTTTCAGGAACCTGTTCATGTCTTTTTTACAAGTGGAATGATGCATGATTAAAAATGTATTTAATAAAAAGCATCATCTGAGTTTCTTGACATGTGGTGTAAAAACAGTGAGGAATATTCAGCTGGTGAAAAACTACTTGGATCAGTTTTAGCAGACACTGAGATAGGAGAAAAACATTGTTTTGGCTACTATGAATAGACAATGTGTTCTCAGATGGAAGCTGTATGTGAAAGGATTTTTAAAAATACTTCCCATATTACCGAGTTCCAATGGTGATTTTGTTTACCCTGCCAGCTGAAAAAGCAGACAGGAACAATATTTTCAGAAAGAGGAAATGAAGTAGGAAAGAAGTACCCACACACGTCTTGCACGCAGGAGGCTGCCACAGGGAGCGTGTCTGTCCTGTGATGAAATACAGCAGAAACGCATGTCCTTTCTGTGCGAACGGGAGGAGTGAAGAATGTTATAGGGGCATAGGTAGGGCTGAGAGTAGACACAGAACCACAGAATCACAGAATCATTAAGGTTGGAAAAGACCTTTAAGATCATCAAGTCCAACCATCAACCCAACACCACCATGCCCACTAAACCATATCTTGAAGCGCCATGTCCACATGTTTTTGAACACCTCCAGTGATGGTGACTCCACCATCTCCCTGGGCAGCCTAGAACAACAGTCTGCTGCTGTATGAATGATTCTCATGCAGGTGCCAAAAATCAGGTTTGTATCCTTCCAGGAGCACCAGGATATACATAGCTCAGTGCGAGCTGCAGATTTTGGTGGCGAAGTGCAAGGAGACACAGTGAGGAACTGTGCAGTTAGTCCTGAACGACTCTCTGCTCGTTTTCCCAGGAAAAACCTTGGCCTGAACAGTGGCAAGTGCCACCTCTGCCTGATAGCTGTGTGGCACATAGTCGGGTCCCAGCAGGGGGTTGGCACCATGGTGGAGGCAAGGGTGCTAATGCTGCAGGGAGATCCAAGGGGGGAGAGACTTCTGCAGCCTCCAGAGAGAGGTTCTCCTCAAGGAAGGGAGGAGTGACAAAGCCCACTGACTAGCTGGGATCCTTGCTGTGGATGCTTCTCCCTGTACTCTGCTTGAGAGAACTGGGAGAGTGTGGGAAAATGCTTCTCTTAACAACCCCCTGAATTGCTGACAACTGCTGGGTAAATTTGGGCGGCTACCAGGATGAGCGTCCTGGAGGAGAGCTGGGAGATGGTGAACAGGACAGCAGCGAAATAGCAAACGAAAGCCTGCGCTGGGCCAGATTTCCCACCCACTTCCAAGTACTGTTAGGTGGGATGGCCCAGAAACAAATCCCATCAGGGCTTCTGGGTGGCCTCTTCAGTCAGGAGGCTGGGAAGCATGGATGGTCCTTCTGGCTACTGTCTCGTCCCTCTGCTGGCTACGCTGCAAAGATGTGTAGGAAGAAAAAACCAGTATTTCAGGAGTCCTGTAATGAAGGCAGAGGTGAGGTCAGAGGGGAACTTGTATTCCCACCAATATGGTCAGTACTTCCTTTTATAAAAAATGTAGCAGACAGCATGGATTTTGACAGTTCCCTGCAGCGTGTCTGAGAAATTGGGAATTCCCCTACGTGTTCCTTCACAAATACAGGACTGACCTGCCGTCCAGAGAGAGCAGGGGAGTTCAGTGCTAGAGGTGTTGTGCCTTTGGGTTCATGGGCTTGTTCTGCAGCTCTGAACTGTCCCTCTTTGTGGCCCAGAGTGTGGATTTGAAGCTCTGGCTTCATTGCCAGGGGAAGGTGGCAGCTTGGACTTAAAAATCTGTTCATCCTCATCTTTTTGCTTTCACTAGTTGTTACCCTCTGTGTTGCTTAACAGTTTGGAAATGAAAATCCTTTCTGTGAATTATCTGAGGATGTAAGAGTTCAAATATAGTCCTGAAAACAGTACAGTAGATTGGAAAACAGTGTGGTCACGGCCCTGTGCCTCATTTTAATGAGGACAAATTCCATCACACTTGCACCTTGGTCCTCTACACTCCTCTGGCTCATCACTGGCGTGGTATTTCACACGTGTTTCAGCACAGCTTTTTAAATGTGTGTCTGTGCTGGTTTACTTGGGTGTTTTAGAATCCAAGAGCTGACTTGGCTGCTCTCCAGCTCTGTTTGATAATGGTTCTTCAAGAGGAAATGCCTAATAGATGCTTGTGAATGAGTTAGTTTCCTCTCTGGATTTGTTTTTCTTTTTTTTCCTTTACACAGGTCTCTCAGGCAGCTGCAGAGCTCCAGCAGTACTGTATGCAAAATGCCTGCAAAGATGCCCTGCTTGTTGGGGTTCCTGCAGGGAGCAATCCCTTTCGAGAACCCCGATCCTGTGCTCTACTCTGAAATCAGGTAATAAAGTCACAGATACCACGACAACAACTCTGATTTGAAACTCAAGCCCTAGGAGGGGCAAGGGCATATGGTGATAGTCGTTTGAATGTCGCATTCTTGGTAGCGAAGTGTTCATCACTTCTCTGCTGGCTCCACAAATTGTTTTCTGTTTCTTTTAGGTCTGGCAATTGAAGCATGTCTCTTTCTTACAGCTCTTTCTAGAGGTGTTTTGTTTATGAGTTGGTTTTTTTTGGTTGGTTCATTTTTGTGTTTGAGCAGCTCTAGGGTCATTAGCAGCATCCAAAATAATAAAAACTGTCTGTGACACACAGTGGTGTTACGACACAGCCAGACGTAAAAAGCGGTCAAGTATCCAGCTTCAAGAAGTAAGACAAAACTGTGGCAGTTGCATGTGTTCTCATGACTAGCTCACAGCTTAAGCGAGAGCTTTGTTAAAATACATTTTGTCTTCAACGTCACATGGCAGTTTGTTTGTCTGTGTCTGTCCTTAGGCTCTTTCTGTTGTTGGTACAGCACCAAAAGCGGTGGAAGCAGAGAGGAGCCCTTCGTAACCTTTTTTCAGGTCTAAAGGATGGGATTTTCCTTCAACATTGCCTCGGTGCACTGCGTTGCTTGTACCTGTGCAACACCTGCAGGGTGGGTGGGCGACCGTCCGGAGTTCACAAATTTCAGGGATCTGGTTCCGTGATTCCCGCTCTTGTCTCTCCCCTCTGCCACACAGATACCAGTGATTGCAGCAGGAGGAAGAAAAACCATGTGTGCTAGTAGTCTTGGGCAGGATCACACCGTAACTTTTGTTGGAAAATCTTATTTCTTCTGCATGACAAAGAAACGTGGAAGTAGGATGTTCAGAAGGGGTTACTCTTCTCTAAAAGAAAAAAAAAAATAGTTCCTGCTAAAGAGCTGAAAAAACTGCAGAGAGAGGAGGAACCACTGAATTCTGCTCTTTCTTTGAGAGTGCTGTCAAAGTGAAAATGAATGTTTTCTTTAAGTGCAGAATTTAAACTAGAACATAAAGTACTTGTAAAATTTCCCCCTTCCTGCTGCCAGGGCTCCTGAGCTTGCAGTTGTCCTTGTGCCCCATCAATAGTGTGGTTTTTATTGTTGCTACATAGGCTTGACAAAACAGGATTGAACCTGAAGAGAGAGAATAAGTGATGCTCTTCTGGAAAAACTTTGCAGGGGAAAGCACAAGCATTTCATTAAAATTAATTTAATTAAAATCAAGAATTTCTCAATTTAGGTGCTACCCTTCATTCTTCCGGCAAATAAGATAAAATTGATAGTGATGTTGCATATGTCGTTCTGTTATTGAAGCAGCCTTTCTGCCTTTTTTTGTGTGTGTGTGTATATTTCTTGGATTCACATTTGATTGCATCATCCAGAGAGGATACAAAATATTTTCTCAAGTTTGAGTTTGGTTGTTAATTTATGATACTTTTAGAAATGCATAGCTCAGCCCAAGATGTCATTTAGTCATCTTTTGCTGATCAATTACCTACTTTATTATTATTACTTAGTTATCTTAGGATCATAAAAATTGAGAGCAAAGTTGAAAAGCCTATTTAAAAATGTTACAATATTCAAGGATGCCAACATCCAACAAAAGAAAGTGGTTATGCAGTTTTTCTCAGTGCAAAGAAGCTTTTGTGTTATAATTTCTAAGAGAAATGTACTGACTTAAGAAGAATTACCAGCATGTAATGAACCTTTTTTTCCTCTTATAGGGAAAGTCATCGGAGAGTTGCCTTCAAGCATGACGTGAATAACAACTGCCTTTCCGTCACAAGAAGAGTCTCTCTCTGTGTCCGAACTTTTGTGTGGCTAAAACCATGTCCTAGATATTTATCTGTCTGTTCTTGTGTATCTGTACTTCACTACCTTTTGCTGATGTTCTTAAAGGTTTTTAATGTAACTCCTGCTCTTTTCATAATCCTCACCACAGTCATGACACTATGCTAACTATACAAATATTACTTGAGAAGTTTACATTTTAGAAAAGAAAAATACATGGATTTTTACCAAATTACTTAGTTCTATCTTGGTAAACTTTTACACTGGTATGATAGTAAAAACTATTTTTTTTTTTCCAAAATAAAATATCTGAAAAGTGAATTGTTAACATATAAAACTAGATGCTGTTAGTACTGAACTAATGTTCTCAGGCGGAATTTTGCTTCCATTAGCAAGACACAGAACGAACTACAATTTTTTTTCAAGTGCATCTAAGTTCATAAATGACAGATACTAGAAACTGCCAGGCACAATGTGTAGCACAGGCTTGATTCCTAAGGCATGTTTCTTACAACTTCTAATCTGTAATACTACTTCTAAATATATTTGCAAAGGTACTGCTGTGGTGGAATTTCCTTGACGTGTTTAAAATGTGACTAAGCAGACACTAAAAATCCATGAACACCCAAAGACAGTTGCATGCATAATTGTCAAGGTTTGCAAACAAAAAACTTACTAAAATATGCTTGGTCATTTGCCTTCAGGTTTTTATAGAGCACTTTTACAAGGACAAATAACTTTTTTATTAGGTTTTTAATTTTGTCTACTTTCTGTTGTTTGTATTAATTTTTTAGAAGTTTGGTCCCTACTGGCTTTGAACTCGCTGTTTAGTTGTAAAAAAGAGCAGATATTGTAAGGAAGAGGATACTTTGATTTTACAGTGGGAGGGGAGGCCTCAAGATATTTGGCTTTTTGGGAAGAGAAGGTTGCTGTTGGTTTTTTAGAAAATGTGTCTTATTAGTAGAAAAATGCGATATACATCTATTTGCGGTAAATAGTAAATTTTTTGTGGTAAATAGTAACAATGTTACCAGGCTCATTTACACATTTTGAAACTGTAAGGAAGAAGATTGCAATCCGAGTATTAATTTTTCATTAATTTTAACTGAAGTGGGGCAATGAGTGTCCTCGAGGCAGTTCGGTCTTTGTTGAAAGATTTTCATGCTTTGCCGTGCTGTAGGAAGACACTGAAATAAGAGTCATAATACTGCCAATATGTATTGTGCCTCTAAATGCAGAGGAGGACATCCTTCCTTAAGAGCTTTTCTACGCTCTGGCTTCCTTTCATTGTAGGCTATTCGAAGATGGCAGGTTTTCTTTTAGTAGTCGACACGTGCACACACTGCGGAAGTCTAGAGGAAGCCGGGTTATTCTTGCTTGCACAGCGGTGATCAGAGGCGCAGGCGGAGGTCAAAATGCTCAAGTTGGGGAGGGAGAGGGGTGACAGTTGGCATCAAATGCCTTTGAACAGCTGGCATCTGGCTGCTGGCCACTCCCTCACAGGCAAAGCTCTTCATATTTACCTCCCACCGTAAAGCCTCCTCCCATCCCTGCTCCTCCTCGCCCCTGGCCCCCCTGCCATGTACCCTTTCCTGCTTAGCGTCCTCACTTGGAGCTGGGTTCTGGAGTGGCTGCTGAGCTGGCATAAGGACCTGCCAGATGACGGTGTGCAGGGGAGAGCAGCCGCTGCTAGCCAGGCCAGGCCGCTGCCGTTGTCTGTTGGCTGCCCTGCACCGCTCCATCTGGTACCTGGAGCACCACGGTCAAGGCGTGTTGGAGGAGCAGCACTGTGCGAGCGTGCTGCAAGTCTTGACTGCGTCCATGTCTTGCACCAGCAGCGGACAGAAAGACCTGTGAAGCGGTTGTGAGGTGGCTGGCGAGCGCTCCACCCCGGTGCACTGTGAGCGGGGTGGTTATTCTGCAGTCCCAAGGCAGGAAGACGCGGATTCCAGACTCAGGGAGGAGCGTGCCTGCCGCACCCCTTTGCTCTCAGGGCAGCCTGCAGCTGTGCTGCGGGGTACAAGCAGGGAGAGGGGTGACAGCAATGCCACCTCTGCCCTCCCCAGGCATGGTCTGTGACAAAAGTCGGAGGCCAGAACGAGCTCCAGAGCAGGGCTGGTTGGCCTTGAGGCTCTCGGGCTCCTGTGGAGAGTCAGTTTTATGAAGTGTGCCGCTGCTGGTTATTTTGTGTTGGCTAAATGGAGCAGCCTGCATCTTAGCAGCTCAGCTTTTGCAGGTCCCCTTTTGGAGGTAATCAAGGAACCTGACAAATGAGCCCGGGCAGCCATCTGCTTCTGCAGGCAGCAGAGCAGGGTGTCTCTTACCTGCCCAGCCAACAGAATGCCGTCTCGTCTCCAGCTGCAGGTGTACCTGGGTTTGCAGTCCTTCGCCGAACGCCGGGATGGCTTAGGCAGGGACAAGCATTGCCTGTTGCTGCCCCTGCTCTACCCTGCAGGCGTAATCTGCAGCAGGGTGGACAACAGTGGACAGCAACCTCTTAGCTTCCTTCACCAAAGACCATCCAAGACGGCTGTCTGCTGAGGTCTCAACTCTCCACACACTGCGCAGAGGCCTTCATACCAGTCCCACAGCAGCAGGTCCCACAGGGCGCCCACCAAAAGCAAATGAAGCGAGCGTGCACGTCTGGACGCCAAGTGCCTCACATCAGCCACAAGGCCCCTTTCCTCGCCGTCACCTCTCACAGTCCATCAGCAGGGCCCTTCTCCATCTACAGCTGCTACTGGCCTGGTCACTCAGCAGTTTACAGATTTGATCAAAGAAGGGAGTGTCCCTACCTGCTGATGGAGGACTGGGGATTAGTTTTTGTATTGCATCTTTTTCTCCGAGCATTCTTGGCTTCCTAATTCTTCCTAGTTATAGATGATTTAGGAGGGGGAAAAAAAAAAAGGTGCATCTTTATAGTGCAATAGTAATTTTCCTCCACATTAAAGAGGTGGGAGGAGAGGGGAGAATGTCATGTGATAAATTTGTCCATGTGTACAAATCAGTGAGATACTGAGTGCCATAAACAAATCCAGTAAAAAACAACTGGTCATTGCAAGCCTTTTTCATTATATTCCACTACATTACCAGTAACTAACTGTACACTGACATTTTTTCTACCTAATGGAAACTTAATGCAGACAGCACTTGAATTTTCTTTTATGTATTTAACGTAGGCAAGATGCCTCTGTTTT